GCCCTACCTAGCCTTTTCCGGAGCCATCTAGGACTAATTTAGAGGAGAAAGATCTAGTTCCCATGTCTGTTTGAATGAAAGTAATTCTACTTGGGTCTGTGTTTTACATTCAGGGTCTGTGTGAGGCTTTTCTCTTTGTTACTGAAATAAAGAGGGCAGAAACCACTGTGCTACTCATAGTCCTTGGAGCCCTTCACTGAGGCTGGGCCAGGAGCAATGCGTACTTGCATGGGAAACACAGTTGCAGGGGATAGCCGTGCCCTTGGGGAAGGGTGGCCAAATGTTTTGTTCTGCATCCTTCACTACTTCCGGGCCAGCTATGGCCTGGAACCAAGAAGGCACTGCTGGGGGTGTCTCTACTGCTCTCAGAGAGCCTGTTTAGTAGGGCGTTGACAGCAGAGAGAGTTCAGAGGAGCAGCAGGATTAGGAGAAGTGGTGTTATGGACAGGGTGCCCTGTTCACCCCTCCCCTCTGCACTATGCAGGGACATCTCTCTGACTTCTGCATACATTGGTGCCTGGGCTGCTGCAGCGTGATTATGAGTAGGACTCACACACAGGGGCTGGTGACAGAGTCTGTGGCTACATGGAAGGGTGGAGGGGTCTGGGAATCTGTATCCTCACTTGGTGAATCAGGCAGAAATATCCCCTAACTGTGCTCTGCTGTTATTCAACAGAGGCCTGGGTCTCCTGGCTCAAAGTCCCCAGGATAGGAGTGATGCTAGTGCTATTTATTTAGCAAGAGGCACCCAGGGAAGGGCATTCTAGGGTTACTGGGGGGGGGCAGCATCAAGGCTAACCCCCCCCCAGCTCCTGCCATGGATTCTATATGCAGGGAGAGCAAATCTAGGAGCACTAGCAGAGGTTCTACGGACATTCAAAAATAGATGGATCATCCCAGAGCAGAAATTTCAGCCAACTACAAAGTGAAGTATTATTTTTATACCCAACTGTAGCAGTTATCTCGTGGAAGATGAAGCAAAATCTATATAAAAATAATGATAAAACATAGTCTCCAAGGAAAAAGACCTTCACTTGAGTCCTAGGCCCTCTCCTTTGAGAATCTGAGAGGCCAGCCTCACAGACAGGCAGAGGCAGGAGCCAGCTGTGTCCTCTGTCACTAGGAAGCAGGCTGGAGAACAAGAGGCAGGCAGTGATGTTTTGATGGGCAGGGTGGAAGAGAAGAGGGGTCTCCTGCAGGGCAAAGGTGTAGACTCCAAGGAACCTTATCAGCCGGAGCCCCTGCAGAACCTTCAGAGACCTTGCCCTGGGGCTATTACTTAGATGAAAAGTTACAGAATGAAAACACTGTATTCACAGTTCCTCCCATTACTGCCTGTGATAGCAAAAGCTGGGGCCTGACAGTTGCCACTTCCAGTGGCTGGACCCAAAGGGCTGGCTCAGAGTCTGGGGGAGATGCAGTATTGATCCGGAGAGAGATCTAGCAAAGACGTGGAAAACCCACACTGTGGAATCATAGATATGAAATAATCCCATTGTTAGGGAGATGTGAAGGTTAGAAACTATCTGTATTCCTGGGGGGAAGACTTTTGCCCATGTTTCAGACTGTTTAACTGTTCCCAAATGACCGACCAGGCTTCTTCTTTTTTTTTTTTTTTTTTTTTTTTTGAGTCAGGATGAAAAATATCTCTAGCACAAAGCACAATTTTCTCAGAGCCACAAAGACACTAAAATGAGTTAAATATGGAAAGTCTGCATGACAGAGAAACACGCCCAGGATAGAACGTTAATTGGAAGAGCCGAGTGTGAAACAGTATGTACACTATGTCTAGAGTCCAGATGGCACGGGCCAGGGTCTGAGAAAACCCCCAGAAAAGACAAGGATCGATGCTATTTGAATGAGCTAGGGTGTGGGCTTTTCTCTGCTCCCTAACAGTGTGCCGAAGCTGACTTTTCCCTAGTCAGAGGCAGGTTGAAGAGACAAAGAAAAGCCAGGCCAGTCGGGCTCCGGCTTTGTGCCAATTGCTCCCACCCTTCCAGACAGTCCTGAAATGGAGTCTGAGCGCCTCCCTGTGGCCACAGTAGGGAATATCTGAGGTTGAGCACAAGGAAGGCTGCTCTGGGTTGGGCTGGGGGATCAGAGCTTGGGAGGCAGGGGTGCTCTGTGTGTGGAGAAGCAAAGGAATGCAGAATATAAATCTAGAGGATAACAAGACTACTTCACCAAAGGGTGAGGGGGGGGTCCTTTGGGGGAAACCTGACCCCTCAAGTCTCTGTTGTGTCAAGTATCACCTTGACACAAACTAGAATTACCTGAGTAGAGGAAACTCAGTTGCCTTTGGAGAAGTATGTAGGGTATTTTCTTGAATAAAGACTGATGGGGGACAGCCCAGTCCTCGGGGCAGTGCCACCTCTGGGTACTTTGGGAAGGTGGGCCTTGGATATTATAAGAAAGCAAACCGAGCAAGCCCGGGGTATGCAGCCCAGTGAGCAACGTCCCACCACGTCCCTGCTCCTGTCTCACATCCCTCAGTGACAGACTGTGACCTGGGAGTTTGAGCCACGTAAACCCTGTCCTTCCCTCCTGAGTGGCTTTTGGCCACAGTCTCTATCACAGCATAGAAACGAAACTAAAACACCAAGCTTTGGCCAAGTTCCTACTCAGATGAGTCTTGGTTTCTCTGTGTGTAAAAGACCTCACTAGCTCATGGCCAAAAAATGACTGCAGGTATCCTCAAGCCCTGCTCCTGCCATCTGGGGCCGTATGAATGAGCTCAAGCCACCTGACTCTAAACTCCAATGTCCCACCACAGAAAACGAAATCAGCCACCTCCCTTGCCCCCCCCCCCCAGGACTTTGTTCCCACGCGGCACCGGCAATGGTCCCAGAAAGCAGTTCGGCATCTTATGGATCATTTCCCAAAAAAGCTATCACCACAGAACCACAGAGCACTCTTAGCAAGGTTTCCTATGTTCTTGTGCCTTACTTGGTATCATAGGAAGCATATACACATGTGGTCTGATGTGCAACACATTTACTGCATGCGGGTCCAGGCCAGTTTCAGAAGTCCTGTCTCAGAGGTAACATGAGCTCCAGCAAGCAAATGCCAATCAGCTCAGTTTCTGGCAGTGAAAAAGCTCACAGAAAACATTACTTATTATTCCTGACAGAGCCGATAATACCAACTGGTGTCACATGGGTCCTTTAAAGAAAATCTGGCAGGAAGGGGAGTCCTCATGGTGCTGTTTCCCCAGAATCCAGGAGCCAGGCCCCCACAAGGGCACAGAGCTCCCTGAAGGTGGTCCCAGGCTGGCTGCCATGCTGCCCAACACTGGCCCCCCAACTCTGCTACTAGACTAAGAATTCAAGGCAGCTCTTGCCAACCCACGAGCATTTTCCTACCCAAAAAAGGAGCCACTTTGCTAACTATGTTGTTCAGCCAAAGGCTGGTGCAGCCTCACAAGTCCATCTCAGTCTGGCACTGCTTGTGGCTACTTAGGACAGCAGACGGCGTGAGTTCCAACAATGCTTTATCCTCAACAAAATAAAGCCCAGGCAGGGCCCTAGGGCTAGGTGGGTATTACAGGCTTTTCCCCTTGTCACCCTGATATCCTTACTGCCTGTCCCTTGTGGACCAGACAACTCCCCCCTCTCCCCCCACACTGACTGAAGGTTACTGGGAGGACAATGATTCCCCTGTCTGGGTATCTTTGCCCAGTGTGAGGCCTCATCTCCTGTGTGGTGGGCTCACAGTCCTGCAGCATGTCTCACCTACCACAGCTGGGGAGGAAAGCCTGTGCAGGGTGGGGGGCATTTGGTGGACCTCATTTTGTATGCCATCACACTGAACACACCTCTGTCCAATTCCTTGGTGGTTCTTCTCTTGTTTCAGGCAGGCCTCCCTTGTCTGTATACTGAGGATGGCCCATTTGTCACAGTGTGGAGAAGGCTGCCCGGGCCCATGGTCTGCATTCTTCTGAAAGTGGAGTCTATGATGACAGCTAATGTGATGTCTATGCATTCTAGATAATCTTCCCCAGAGCTCCAGGCATGAAGTAACTGTCTAGAGCTCATTTTTACTGAGGAAAACGAAAGAGGCAGATAGCCAGGAAGTAGCCTTAGCTACTGAAGGATGGAGCTGGAATTCAGGCCCCAGCAGGCCTTCAGATTCAAGGGTCAGCCCAGCACCACTTTGTACCTTCGGCGGCTGCTGCATGCAAGGCAAGGAACAGATGAGACACATAATGTGAAGTACAGAGTACTATGATAAGAACAGAAAATATTAGTTGGTCTCTGCTTGAGCCAAGAAGGAGAAAAAGTATTTTGGGATGGCTGAGTAGCTAGTTTCCATTAGAAAAGCCATGCATTCTCAGCCCATGTCCACTGCGGGAGTGGGGGTGGAGGGTGGGGGGTGGGGAAGAGGGATATGGCAGGAGGTATCTGGCTGTGCATCTTTCTCCAGTCTGTGCCCTGTCTCTGTCTCCAGCTGAGGGTGGTCCATGTAGCCAGGGCCCAGGAGCAGCTCGCTGATTGGCTGAATGTATCAGAGAGGAGTGAAGCAAAAGGGGAACACCTAGCTGGTTTGCCTCTTCATCTTCGTTTGGAGCGTGTGTGAGCATGTGAAGGGGACACTGTCCAGTCATTGCAGTCAGCACCTGTTGGTCACAGGTGACTTACACCCACATATCCATGGAGGCTTCCAATAGTCCTGGAGGAGCTGAAGGAAGTCCTGCCTTATAGATGGAGAGGCATGCTCAGGGGCAAACAAGTCGCATTGCCACTCACTCAGCAGAAAGGGAACCCAGGTCCCAGTGCCAGTAGACTGGGTCCAGCAGGCTATACTGAGCTACTGTGGGGCTAACTCTGTAGAGTTAGCCACAGATGGGGGCTATGACTAGGGATGGGCAGGTAATTCTGAGCCCAGCCACAAACACAGGAGATACCGAGGTGGAGCAGAGCGAACTCTCTTGAGCACACCAAGTCAGAGACCCGAGGTCCAGACCCCTTTGAGCAAATGACCTAGAAGTAGTGGAGACCTACCGCATGATGCCCAGGGGATCCAGCGCCTCTTCCTCCTCCTCTTCCTCCTCCTGGGACTTCTCCACATCATTGTGGCTCAGGCCCAGTGTGGGTGGCTGCACTTGATCCTGCTGGTCAAAGAAGTCAAAAGCCTCGTCACTGTGCCCTGGCTGGCTGGCTGTGTCATCCAGGACAAAGGGATCTCTAGCAGCAAGACCTGCAGTCCCTGGGGATCTGGTGCCTATGCAAGAAGAAGAAAATAAGAGCTTGATGTCTACTTTCAAGGAGACATCACCACACCCACCCTCCCAAGTCAGGTTCTGAGGATGATAGCTTCCTGTGACTTCCTGGGACCCCAATTCTGCTTCATCCTGAATGGAGAGTCTGGGAAAGGACCAGGTCCTATGGTACCCTCTCAGTGATGCTGGTACCATGGAAGCCTGGGGTGGCCTAGTCATGGGAAATGTCAGAACAAGCAGAAGGCAGGATTTTCAGAATTTCTGTGGGCCAGTGATGTGTGAACTTTCCCCAGGGAGTCATGGACAACTCCCTATTCACCCCAGATAGAGGACCAACTGCCGAACAAAGGGAAGATTCCACTTATGTCTAGCTTATCTATCCGTCCTTCCATCCATCCATCCATCCATCCATCCATCCATCCATCCATCCATCCACCCATCCACCTATCTATCAGTCTCTCTGTCCCTCCATCTCCCTATCTGTCCCCTGGGGAGAGGTGAGGTCTTGTGAATCCCTCCAAAATTCATGAGGAAAGGTTAATGGATCCAATCTGTGTGGTTCACATTCATGTAAGTGATCGTAGCTGCTAAGATTTCAAGAGACCAACAGCCGTGCCATGCCAGAGGACAGCATGCTACAAAACCCGGAGTTATCTCTACCACAGTGACAGCCAAGCCAGTGCCCAGGAACCCAGTGGTGAAGTATCCTAGCCAGTGTGCAATGGGGCTTAAGCAGGACTGTCCCTTTCTGAATGTTTCACAATAGTAAGTCCCCATAAGGGACTCTGCTGACCTAACCATAGGCAGACAACTCCAGGAGCTTGCATTATCAGAGGCAGGTGTTTGTGATAAGTTCTGTTCAGAAATGTGCATAGAGGCTTGGCATCTAAGCACACAATATTTTCTAGCATATCTGTCTGTGAGAGGCTGGGAATAAATAGCTAGTCCTCCTCCACGGACAGTTTGAGAAGTGTAGGCTTGGATTGTTTGTTCATCTCTATGCGAGCAGTGACTGGGTAGTTACCCTTTAAAATAGTCACTTTAAAAAACCATTCAACCAAGCAGCACACACCTTTAATCCCAACACTCGGGAAGCAGAGGCAGGTGGATCTCTGTGAGTTTGAGGGTAGCCTGGTCTATGTAGTGAGTTTCAAGACAGCTTGGATACGTAGAGAAACCTGGTCTCGAATCAATGAACATCATCCAGAACTACATATAGAAGTTCTTTCTCAATGAACAAACATCACTCAGCAGTTAAAGCCTTAAACAGTGTTCTTCCTTCACATCTGGTTTAAGGGAATTATGCCCTGGCCTGTAGAACTGGAGATCTACCGGATCAGAAAAAAGCAAAGTTAAATGGCTGACTGGAAAGGGAAAGTGGTGAGGAGAGAGAGGTACCATCCCCAGGTGTGGCCAGGCCGCATCATCCAGGGCATGAAGGGCAGATGCTTGCCCAGGGGGATTTAAGTAGACAGGAATGCTGGGGGGGGGGTGTTGGTCTTTTAATCCCCACCTCCTGCATAACCAGCTGTCTGGAGTACTTCAGCGTGTTAGTTCATGCCCAATCTCCATCAGTAAATTACTTCTCTTATGGAGAACATCAATGACAGAAAGAAGGCGGGGGGGGGGGGGAGCTTTTTATAAAGAAGAGCTCGAGGTCCCCAGAGTGGGCTGTAAGGGTGCCAGATCACACTCATACTCTATGGGCTGAGTGTGATACCCACAAGGGACCCAGCTAGAAGGCTGGATGTGGAACCCAGTGTCACAGGCTGCCAGGTCGGGTTGTCAGGAGGCAGAGGGATAATGTGCACACACAAGTGTATGAGTGAAGGGAGATATATAAGGCCATGGCAAGGTCAGTCTGAATACCCGCTGGCATCCAGAGGTTAGTCCCTTGAGTGCTGGGTCTCCTACATACCAACCAGCCCAGAAGGTCACTGAAGCCCAACTACCTCAACAGCTCTGCTAAAGCTTGCAGGCCATGGAGGGTGGCGATGGCCCTCCCACTAAGTCACAGTGGTGAGGGAGGTTCTGGGCTGCAGAGACCTCAGGGACATGGGACAAAGCCTTGGGTACCTAGGAATTCTAGCAGCTCCGGGCTGCCCGCCAACTGGGCATCTTTGGAGACACATCGCAGAATTTCATCAAACATGGCTCTCCTTTCCCGAATGTCAGACTCCCCGACAACCAGAACCTTCCTAGGCAGCGGGGGCAAGCTGGCTGCTGGGTAACGACTGCTCAGTTTCTGGTAAAACTCCTCGATCTCGCTGTATTTTTTGGAGACCTGGAATGAGAGGAGTGTGTAGTTTCCTGAGAGAAGAGCCAAGGGTAAGAAGCTTCCTCACCCCGACCAGATTATGTGCCTGCCTGCTGCCCCGCTGCCTACTCTCTAACCTCAATCTCTGATCCCCAGAGAAGTCTCAAAGTCCCAAAGAAAGGATGCAATAATGAAGAGACCTAAAGGACCACCGCAGGTTTGTGGAAAGACCTTTAACAGGGACCCACCTGGCCTGCAAATGACCATGCACCCACCTATTCTGAGCTTTCTGAACCCTAGCAGAGTGAGTTTGGCACCTGGCAGGTGACGGGCCATCTTGTGACTTCACTGTGAGTCACCTTTTCACAGCACAGACATCTTGATCATTCTGACTTGAACTGGTCTTTTGTAAGGGCCTGTCCTGACATGTGACAGTGTTGTTAGGGAGGAGTCTGGGTGAGGCAGGCCGTAGCTCCTGCTGCTGCCACAGGATGTGCCTTGAGTCTCTAAAGGTAGCATTGGCTTACTGTAGATCACAAGCTAACTGCCACAATCCATTATAGTCACCACCTCCAACTTCTGAACCTCCCACAGCTCAGTCACCACTGTTTCATATACTATACTCTTGCTATGCTCATATACTATACTCTTGCTATGCATTTGCTGACACAGAATTCCCCAGCTGGCTCTGGGCCTTGTACATTGAGTAGCCATAGCCCTGTGGGCTTGGTGCAATTGCTGGGACCTGTATAATCCATGTGATCTCAGACAACACCTTCACGGACACCCTGTATCTCCTGAACTCAATGGTACTTCCCTGGAGGCTAGGCTCAGTAAATATGTGGCACCATTGAGGATGAAGGCATGGACGACCTGCACCCCCCAGGCCTGGCACCATCTTAAGTGTGTATGCTGGTGCGTGACTGGACTGTGGGTGTCCCCATCACTGGGGCTCTGGAAGGCCTGGCGGTTGCCTGACAGGGTGTGGTCCATAGCTCATTAATCAGCATATCACCCAGCTTCAAGGTTCTAGACACAAGGAGGTAGCTGTGCAGTGAGGGTGGGGTGGGAGCTCAGAACCCTCCAAAATGTGAGTTCCCTGAGATAGGAAGCTGCTGCCCAGAGGTCCAGCCTGGCCCTGGAACTTTCCTGGGAAGAACTCTCGAGGAAAGGGTAAAGGAGGATCTCCAGTGCACCAGTTACTCAGGCTCCCCCTGGAATCCTCCAGCTGTTCTGAGGCCCTGGCAGCTGCAGCCAGGCCACAGTGAGGAGTGAGCACTCCCTGCTGGCCTAACTGCTCCTTGCAGGCTCAGGCTACAGACCCATAGCTGAGGCAGCCTGAGTTTTAACTTCTGGGAAGGGCTCGCTCACTATCCAGGGCTCTCACCCATTTGTGTTCTAGGCAGAACATCAAGCAGCTGCCAGCAAATGTGACAAGAGCAACAGGGAGCTGAGGCATGAACACAAAAATACCAGGTGCCTCTGTGTGGCAGGCGCTGCAGAGCACAGGGCCGACAGTAATGCTACTTCATGGTTCTCTGGCATGTGTACATGCCTGTGCAATGTGGATTTACAGGGTGGCTGCCAGACCTCGGATACAGTGTTCCTCCCTGGGGCCCTGCTTTACCACAAGGCTAGCAACCAAATGCTTGCTTTTACTAAAACATATATATCCTTTTAAGGAACAGACACAAACTGCTAATTCTTTTAGCTAACTCATGAAATTCCAGGGGGATTTTAGAGCTGGGGTCATAACTCTGGGCTATACCCCTGGATACCATGGTGTGTGTGGGAGCCAATGAGTTTTCCTTTGCCCTCTTAGGTACTTCAAGGTCTGTGACACACCAGCATGTATGCCCATGCACACACTGTGTACACACCCCAGCATGCTTTCCCCAGGGCGTGGCCATCACTGTTCAGGTATCACTAGCAGCAATAGTGTGGCCTGTGGAAGCATCACAGGTGACCTTTCATTCACCCTGCTCTGACATCCAGTCCTCTGTACAGGACGGAGCGGGCTGCACTGGATCCCAAGTGTTCCCAAGATGCTGCCTCTGCCTCAGGTCTCACTCATTCCCTTTCTCCTGCTCTCTGAATGCATGGGTGCTGAGTTTGGGCAATCTGAGGTCAGGTCAGATTACCAGAAGATACACAGATTAATAGAAATGGGTTAATAATTAAGAGAGAGCTATACAATAAGAAGCCTGAGCCATTGGCCAAACAATTTATAATTGATACAAGCTTCTGTGTGTTTATTTGGGACTAAATGGCTGTGGGACAGGCAGGATAGAAACTTCCATCCTTAGTCGATCTTGGCCAATGAGAACTGCACACTGTAAGCACCTCCCTCTCCCCTTGTCCCACATACTGTCTGTGTGTATTTCCAGCCTGGTGACTTACTGTGCTGTCCCCAGAACCAGGCTCCCTGTCTCCTGATCCCAATGCCTGTCTCCTGATCCCAATGCCTTGCTGTTGCTAGACTCTGGTTAAAGGCAGATGGGACAGTCACTTCCCTGCTTAAAACTACTTGTCTGCAAGACAAGTCCAGGTCCAACTGTGTCCTGCATGACCCCCCACCCCAAATGTGTCCTCCCATGTCATCCCAAGACCAGACTCAACCACTCAGAAGCTCCCAATTCCCAACCCCTTCCCAGCTCCTGTGCCTTCTTTCTGGAACAGTCTTCTTCACTGCTGCTTAGGACCATGTATATCTTCTCCCCTTCCTACCTTCCTTCCTTCCTTCCTTCCTTCCTTCCTTCCTTCCTTCCTTCCTTCCTTCCTCTCTCCCTCCCTCCAAGACAGAGTTTCTCTGTGTAGTCCTGGCTGCCCTAGAACTCACTCTTTAGACCATGCTGGCTTCAAACTCAGAGATTTTCCTGCCTCAGCCTCTGAGTGCTGAGATTGAAGGCATGCGCCACCACCACCTGGTAACAGTAACAGCATCTACTCTTTAAGTCATTGTCATGCCTTCACCTCCTCCAGGAAGTTTCCAGAATCTTTTCTCCAAGGTGTATAGGTTGCCCTCTCTACACATGCCCAGCCTCCCATGTGCTCCTGTCACCATCTATGTCTCTTTCCAAGTCTGCCTTCCTGTGGATTCTAAGCATGGATCTAGGCTGGTGTTCCTGTCATCCCACGCAGTCTAGTGCTCCAGACCCTAGGCACATGGTTGTATAGGGAAGTGTCAGCACTCTGGTGCTACTGCATCCTGAGCGGCTGACGCCTTGCCTGGGCATCATGGCTAGAGTCCTCTGCTCACCAAGAACTGGACCACATCTTCGGGCCGGTGCTTGGCAGACTTGAACACAGCCAAACGGGTCACCACTAGGATCTGGTATTCCACATGGCCAGACATCATCTTGCCCCGTACTTCCTGGTGCTGTGGCACTGTCAAGTCAAGGCCTGTGTGGACATTCTGAACTTGCCTGTAAAGCGAAGAAAAGCAGGTCCAGATCAGGGTCAAGTCAGCAGGCTTTGCCAGTGAGGCGCAGGCAAGTCAGTGGGGCCCGGTCACTGGGTTCTGGGCCACTCAGTTGTGTGACCCTGTCAGTCTGTCCTTGGATTCTTGGGGGTGGTGGTGGTATGCAGACTAAGATTGGCACCTGAGTCTGTGGAGATGGAGAAGGATTGAAGTACTCCAGGGAATCTGGACAGACACACCTCCTCAGCTCCAAAAAGGACAAGGGGACAGCCAATAGATTTGTTGAAGCTGGGGAACTAGAATGACATCCAAGGCTGCAGGGAAATAGTGGCTTCCTCCTCTGGATAACCTAGGGGACAGCCACCCCTGTCTGGGTGCAGTTAGAATATCCTCTCTGCCTCTAAGAATGTGCTGGCTCTTAGAGAGCTGTGCGTTCCACCAAAGCCTATGGAGTATTGGAGTATTTTTTCGGTGTGTGTGTGTGTGTGTGTGTGTGTGTGTGTGTGTGTGTGTGTTCCAAGACAGGGTTTCTCTGTGGCTTTGGAGCCTGTCCTGGAACTAGCTCTTGTAGACAAAGCTAGCCTCGAACTCACAGAGATTTGCCTGCCTCTGTCTCCCAAGTGCTGGGACTAAAGGTGTGCACCACTACTGCTCAGTGTATTGGAGTATTTTTAATACGCACACACACATACACACACATGCACACACTCATGTATACTAAGCTAGACTTCTTTACCAATGGCCAAACGACAGTGTTCTCTGTCTGATGCTGGATGAAGACCATGTGCCGCTGTCACAAGGACAGGAGGGAGACTAGAGGCTATGGTACCGGGAATCATCTGGTACTCCCAGCAGGTGGAACACATGAAATTGTGAAATTGCTTCATCTGCTCAGTCCCACCTGAAAGACAGGAACAGACATCCCAAAAGGGAGTAGCTTGTCTTTGGTGTCAGAGCTCCACAGAGTAATTCAGGCAGCCTGAAAGGAAAATGAGGAATCTTTTCTGTGGTGATATACTGTTTATGATCTAATAAAGATCAAAATGCAAAGCCAGCCACAACCATAGAGGCCAGGCAGTGGTGGCATACACCTTTAGTCCCAGCAGCCACTCGAGTTAGCCACAGAAGCTGGGTGGTATTGGTGCAGGCCTTTAATCCCAGCACTAGAGAGGTACATAAGAGCTCAGGATATTCATTCGGCATTCAGTCTCCAGTCACGGTAAGGACAGGATCACTTCAGCCTTGTTAAGAACTTTCTAGTGGTTGGCTACTTTCCTTCTCTGATCTTCAGGCAAGCTTTCTTAGACCATAAACAATATGTCACCACACTTTTCCATACGGCTGTAAAGACTGGAAATGGGGCAGTGGGAAGTAACAACAAGGAAGGCTGTTTGCCCTGAATGGCAGAATGGGAGAGGATGATTAAGTCCCTACTGGAACCTCCCATGTACCCTGCTCCCTGGAGGTGTCCCACAGCCACCCACACCAGAAACTGAGCCCTATCCTATCTATCTCCTGTGGCATTGATCCTAGCAGCTGAGTGTACCCTACAACAGGAATCTCTACATCTCAGGCTTGGTTCTCTTGTCTTCATGCCTAGGGCAGAGCTGGATTAGAGAAGCTCACTTCTGCAGCTCATTGCTTCCATTGCCCCTGTGCCAGGCAGCTCTGCCTGATTGGCACAATCACGCTCCTCTGCCCCTCCCGGAAACTCCTGACCACCAACTTTAGGCAAGGCAGAACACGACCTCATCCACATGTAGTTTGAAAGATGTGGTCCCTGGACAGCATAAGCATTATCTGGGAACTTGCTGGGTGGTGGTGGCGCATGCCTTTAATCTCAGTGCTCGGGAGGCAGAGGCAGGAGGATCTCTGTCAGCCTGGTCTACAGAGTGAGCTCCAGGACAGCCTCCAAAGCTACAGAGCGTCTCAAAAAACAAAAGGAAAAAAAGATGACACACTTGGGTCACTGAATTGGAAGGTTGAGGTTGATAAGAACCTCACTTCTTTGCACTCTATTTTACTTCATTTGCATCTGTTCAGCTCTGCCTGTAGACACAAAGGGAAAGCAGCTATAGACAACACCTGCATGGACTGGATGTGCTCTTATACAACTGGAATTGCTAGTTCCCACCACGGAGGCAGTTATAGCATCACCGGTCGCCAGGTGCCTTCCCACGGACAGCTAAGAGACACATGCACCCTATATAAAGTGTCCACCAGGCATAGCTCGATCTCTTTCTTGTCTCTCAATTCTCTTCTTGCCTGTTCTCTGTCTGTCTGCCTCTTTCATGCTCCCACTCCAAGATGGCCTTTCGCTCTTTCACCCTCTTCTTCCCCAATAAACCTCTTGAACTAACTCTTTCTTCCTCCCTCCCTTCCTTCCTCCCTTCCTTCCTTTCTCTCTTTTCTTTATCTTTTCAGGAATGGCAGAAGCAAGTCGTTGGCAGGATATGGCTCAGGGTTATAGTACAATCACCGTGCCCTAAACCAAGCTGCTCAGTTTCAGTGTGGGAACAGGTCTCTTAGGGTACTATTAACTTCATTCCCAAGGCTCACGCCATCTTCCACAGGTTTCACCCAGACCCAAGGCCTCCCATGACACCCCGGGCCAAAGGTGCTCCAGTTCCTGCCTGTGATCCAGACTCTTCACTCCAGGCCATCCCACCTCTTACTGTCAATCATGTTTTCAAATGAACTCATCTGAACAAATGCTGATTTCCCTGTCCCAAGAAGCAGTAAGCTCTGGTCAGTAACTCTACCTCCAATCTCCATGTTTCGCCATCACCCACAACCTCACCATTCACAGACCTCAGAGCTCTCATTCACAACACACAAAACCTAAACAGGCCTCAGCCCTTCTTCCCCTTGGTCGGGCCACTCCACTATGGCTCCACATGGATTCCAGCCAGTGCCTGCAGAATGGGGAGCAGCAGCCGTAGGGGGCTGTACCCCTGGTCACATGGTCTCTGTCTATGCTTCCCATTACACTCATAAGGTAACCGCATGGTTTTTCTCTATTGCAGGCTCTCCAGGGTACCTCACACTCTGTGTCCATGCCCCCTCGACTTCAGTACACTGGCCTCTGGACTGTGGCTGTTGCTGTCTTCTCTGCTGAGCACATGTGCCAAGATTTCCTTCCTATAGTTCTCTCCCCCAGGGGACTTCTCAAGTGCCTGGTCACCTGCCATCTCTCAAAAAGATGTCCCTCAACTACATTGTATAAAACTCAGGTCTAAGCGGAGAAGTGGTGGTGCACGTCTTTAATTCCATCACTAGGGGGGCAGAGGCAGGCGGATTTCAGTGAGTTCAAGGTCAGACTGGTCTATAGAGTGAGTTCCAGGACAAGATTCCAAAGCTACACAGAGAAACCCTGTCTCGATAAACCCCAAAACAAACAAACAAACGAGCTCAAGTCTATCACCAGATCTCCCATCGTTTCACCTTCTTCCTCAGCATTTACTATCCAGTTGCCATCATCGCCTCAGTGCCGTACTCAAAACCCTGGATCTGGCACAGGGGCACAGAAGATGCCCCTGAGAAAACACCTGGGGCTGGACGCATGCATGAAGCTGGGGAGATGGCCAGTAGGGGCAGGCTGGAAACATCAGTTGGTCCTGGGTCCAATGCCACCTCAGTGCTCGCAAAGGCATCGGCATTCTTTGAAGGCAAAGCTCCCTGGTCCACTGTGACTGCCAGAATGGACAGGCCACCACTCCTCTGCCCTCCTCATCATCATCAATGCCTGTAACACCCATGCACATGCTGTCACTGAGTGAGGTCACCACTCCCCTAACTAGGCACCAGCACCAAATTTCACAGCCAGGAGTCTGCTTGGCGTGACCAACAGGGGCATTCACTGCTCGTCTATATAGAACGTCCATCTACAGAAAGGGAAACCGAGGCTCAGTGAAAGGAAACAACTCACAGGGCACTGGGACATCTCAGATGGGACCTGCAGCCTCAGTCACCAAACCAAGGACAGCAAGCAGCTTCCAACACCGCGGTTTTACATAAACAGAACCACACTTTTCTAGACAGGGAGCTGAGAGGACAGCTGGGTGTTGTGTCCATTTACACAATAAGCTGGCATCTTGGCTAGAGTTTGTGTAGGGTGAGCAAAGGCGGGGTATACGAATATCCTTGAAGTTCGCCATTTTAGAGTTAGTTAAAACTCGAGGAACGAGTAGGACCACTCCCCTCCCAGCCATTCCAAGTTCCATCCGGGCTGGGTCTCTTAGGTTTGGCTCTGGGTGGGTGCACACTGCCGCTGACCCTTTGTGGAAGCTCCTGAACTCGGGCCAGCGCCAACTGCCAGGGTCTCAGCTCTACCTCGTGGCGCCCAACAGCAGCAGTGAGTTGTGTACCAGGGCAACTGTCCCCTCCCTCCCGCAGCACTAGTCACCCCCTGCAGGACCAGCTTGTTTGATTCACCTCGCCCCTGGTGCTTAGCATCGGGCGGGTACACACAGAGCTAGCGTTGAAAGGTTTGGAGGTTCGGAAGAAATGATCCCCAAGTACACAAGGGCAAGGATCCGGCCGGCCTCTGTACCAGACCGATTTCGCCAACCCCAGGTCTTTCTAGAGTCTTGGGTGAGTGCTTTATCCTCTAGGGGGCCTCAGTTTCCTCATCTGTAAAACCGGGGACGCTAGATGGCGCGCCACCACACCCGCGGGGTAGTGGGGTGCAGCGGGATAAATCTTCAGGCAGCTAGGGTGCCGGGGACAGAAGGGTCGGGGTTCTGGCTCACCTGGAGGTGACAAGCACAGCCGGGGACTGCATGTCGGCTGCAGACGGGCGGACAGTCACGGGACCGGGCGACGCGGGCGTCGCGGGCGTCGCTGCGTCCTGGCCCCGCCCAGCCAGGGCGAAGCGCCATCTCCCTGGCTCTGGCCCGGCCCCTGGTGGCGGGCCTTGTACCTTGCAGGCACCATGGTCTCGGGGTAGTGGGGGGTTTTGTTTCTCAACCCTTTCAGACCCCCCCCCCCCATAGACACTTCATAAACCTGGCACTTGATGCCATCTAATCCCAGTACAAGCTTAGGCTCCTGAGGCGAAAGAACCGAGCCAGCCGTTTTTGCACTCTTCACTTCCTGGGGCCATTTTCATTTATGCAGTCTCTCTGCCCCCCCCCCTCTCTCTCTCTCTCTCTCTGTGTGTGTGTGTGTGTGTGTGTGTGTGTGTGTAATTAACACTGCATTTGTGAGGTCAAGGACAGCTTTTAGGAGTTGGTTTTCTCCTTCCCCCATGGATTCTGGCACAGAAAGTGCTTTTTCTCATAGGCAGGAACAGATTTTAATGCACTCGCCTCTCCTGTCCCATCCCAAACCCCCTCTCCTTTTCCCACCCTTGCCTCCCATCCCTTTTCTTCTTCCTGCCCATTGCAGAAACAGAACACCATCTTGTTTGTCATCCAGCCAATGCTGGATGTCACTGAATCTATGGTCAGGACATGGGAACCTAAGACTGTGGGGTGGTGGTTAGAAAGGAGACTATTAAGGCTAAAAAGGGTCCAGGTGATACCCTCCCCCATGAGAGAGCCCTGGGAGGGTCTAGGAAAGCAGAGACCATAATGGGGAGTCCCCCTGAGGCCCTAGGCTGCTAGTATGCCTACCGCCAATACCATGTGAGCTTAATGGGCTGGGCTTCCCTGTGACTTGGACTTGTCTTGTGTGCTACAGGAATCTTAGCACCTGGTGCTTGCTAAGGTTACCACAGGACTCTGGGGAAAGTGGCCTGCTCTTGCTTGATAGCAAATCCATTTTCTGCTTCCGTGGGACCGACAGGCTCCAGCGCATAGCCGTGTACAATGCCTGAAATATGGGATCTAAATCTGATATTGTGTGCTTCTGCTCAGCAGCATGGCTGAGGCAGTGGTAACAAAGTCTGTGTTGCACAAGACTTTCCTCCCTTCTGGCTCCATGTGCACTTCTCCCAGAGGGAATCAGCTTCCAGTGTTGTGCATACAGTGAGATTAGCAGGGGCATGTCTGAACTCTGGTCTGCCATGTCCTAGCATCCCCTTTGTTTTGAGTGGAGTAGGTTGTCTGAGGACCTGCTCATTTTCTCTGTCCCTTAATTGGTGCTCCAGAGGTCTGCCCACCTACATGTGAAGTGGGAGGGACTTGTTAGCCGATGCTCACAAGTACAGCTTGGGCCTGGGACTGCAGAAGAGGATTCAGTTTTGTCTAATGGTGTTTACTGATCACTTGGGGCTAGTCAGTGAAGAGTTCAAGAAGGATGCAGGCTCTGGGGACATGAGAACATCCTGGAGATGAAGAGCTCATGAGGAACAGCCTGGGTAGGGAGGCGGTGTACAAAGAACTCTTCCAGGAGGAGGTTGTACCAGACCCCAGTAATGAAAAAGTAAGTGCTCTCGTTCTGGTTTCCTCCTTGGAGATGGGGGTGGGGTGGGCAACAGAACCACACAATGCTGAGAGTGATCATAGCAACCTAGTGAGATGAAATGTATGGGAAGCATGATGGATCAAAAGCCACCACCAACAGCCTTCCTTCTGCTTTGGCTGCTACGAGGGCTAGAAAAGTAAAAAAACAAACAAACAAATAAACAAAAACATTCACATTTCCTTGTGGCTCAGAGTCATAGGGCTTACTTCTGGAATACATAGGGAAGTTTCTGCTGCTCTTCCAGAGGACCTGAGTTCTATTCTGAGCATCCAAAAAAGTTCGTTCACAATCACCTGCAACTCCAGAGGATCTGATGCCCTCTTCTGGTCTCTGCAGGCAACAGCACACACACACACACACACACACACACACACACACACACACACACACACACCTTATTTATTTATTTATTTATTTGCTGAGACAGGGTTTCTTTCTGAAACAATCCTGGCTCTCCTGGAACTCGTTCTGTACACCAGGCTAGTCTCAGACTCACAGAGATCCACCTGCTTCTGACTCCCGAATGCTGGGACTGAAGGCATGCACCACCACTGCCTGACTTCACAAGTCAGTTTTACTGAATCAATTCCTCAGTTGAGGTCCTCTTCTCAGGTGTCAATAGTTTGTGTCAAGCTGACAGACACTAGCCAGCGCTGCACCCTTCATTGTTGTGTGTCTAATACAGAAACCCTGAGTTCTTTGACTAAGGTTGGAAGACTGGACCTTCCAAATCATCACACAATGGCAGCTTTAATTCCAAAAATCCTTGTTGACTTTTAATTATGCATGCTGTCTTAGTTACTGTTGTATTGCTGTGGAGAGACACCATGACCAAGGTAACTCATATAAGAAAACACTTAATCTGGAGCTTGCTTACCATTTTAGAGGGTTAGTTCCTTGCCATCATGTCAGGAAGCAGACAGGCATGGTACTGGTGTAGTAGCTGAGAGCTTTCTATCCTGATCTGTAGGCAGCAGGCAGAGGGAGAGAGAGACTGGATTTGGCATGGCTTTTGAAACCTCAAAGCTCACCCGCAGTGACACCCCCTCCTCCAACACCCACACACTATTCCCAAATAAAGAGGCAGAGAATGTTAAACTTTGCATGTTTGGAGAGACAGTGTGTCATTATTCAGCCCAGGCTGGCTCGAAAGTCAAAATTACTTTGCTTCCTGAATGTGGGATTATGGGTAGAGGTCAACTCTATCAGGGTCACAAAGGAAGACCAGAGTAATGGTGGTTTGATGGTCAGGTCCTCCCCCACACTGCAGTGTCTCTCTGGGCTGCACTGGATGTGGTCATCTCTTCTCCCAGGACACCTCCCAAAAGGGGAGTTTAGAGGCACCGGCTTAATGAGCCAGGTGCTGTTACACACTCTTGCCAGCAGATGGCACTATCCACCAGCCCGCTGCAGTGTGTCCCAAACAGGAGGCACTAAGATGCACCCTAGGGAAGGCCTCTGGGAAAGAAGGCCCATCACCTCTCCTCCCCTCCCCCACAGGATGGTCTGGGCCACAGAGCAGACCACGCCCAGAGGCCAGAGGCCAGGGCTTTGAGGACCCCAGTGTGAATGCCAGAGCTGTTGCTTGGGGCAACCTGGGCAGCCTAGTTATAGGTTAAGCATGGGGAATTCCTGCAGCTTGAGGAGGCCTGGCCCAGGGTAGAGACTGGTGCTGTGAGGGAACCTGCTGGAATCTTTATTTCTGCTGTGGCAGGTATTTCCGGGAGAGACTCCTGAAGCCTTCCTAGGGGCTGAGTAGAGGGGCCAGTGCCATGGGAAGAGAGGGAAGAGGGAAGCAGATGCTTTCCCTCCATCTCCCCTCAGGGGGACCTAAGCCAGTGCCCCCCCACCCCATCAGAGGTCAGAGGTCATGGTGGGTCCACACAGAGGACACACTCCTAGTCCCACTGTCCTGGTTCCTTTCACTGTTCACTGTTAGTGGACAAAGCCAGATCTGGAACCAGGACAATGACAGCCTAGGGCTCTCAGTGTTTTCCAACATGGAATTGACTTGTGAAACACATAGTCTGGACACAACTGACTACTGTAGAAAGAAGGGCAGCAAGGCACCAGGATCCATTGTCTCTCTGAGCAGACCCTTGACTGATTGGCCATTGTGCAGGTAGGTGGGAAGAAGCCAGTTCCTCAGGGCACCCAAAGGAGGAAACCTGCAATTAATTAGGACTTTTTCATCTGCTCCCCAACCTGGGCACTAAAGGCAGGTTGTCATCCCAGCTGTGCACCATCCTGGCAACAGCTGGAAGACCCTGAGTAGGCAGGCAGCACAGACCTTGGTCCAGGTGCACACTTGCCTGCCTGCTACAGGCTGAGCTAGGGCCTGGCACATCCCTGTAACTCTGCAAGTATTGACCTTGGTTAGGACTCTCCTTCCTGCTCCCAAACATCCATGTGGCCCCAGACTGAGCTCTGCCCCTGGCTCCCAGGTGGTCCAGATGGAGGAGGAATTGCTTGGGAAGAATCAGTGAGTGCAACCTCTTCCCTCCTCACCCTTCCCCTTTACTCCCCTTCCTTCTCCTCTCCTCTCCCCTCCCCTTCCTCCTTCCCTCCCTCTCCTCTGTGTGTGTGTGTGTGTGTGTGTGTGTGTGTGTGTCCTGTAGTCCATCTCAAGTGTAGGATGGGGGTGTACTAGTCTGGAGCCTGGGCCACAGTTGATCTGGAAGAGGCTTTTGGATAACTGTTTGACCTGCAAACTCTCAGACCCAGTTAAGATGTTCAGTTTGGTAACCAATGCAATTTTAAAGTAAAGGGAGGGGGTGTAGTCCAGGCCCTCAAAGCTGCTTGACAATTGGCCGTCTATTTTCTGGACATTTTCGCACTGGGGTTTGTCAGAACTGAATTGACACAGGCTGTCGACCTCCACCATCTGTGCAGTCTGCTCTTTAGCTCTGGTGTCTGAATGCTCAAGTGTCCCCTACTGATGGGGCAAAGTTGGAAACATTTTCCACCGTTGCTCTAAGAGCAACAGTGGCAGTAGAGCGCTACTCTAGGGATCTGCTGCCCACAGTCCAAGCTGTGGTTGCATGAAAACAAATCAGTAGCCTGTTGCCTTTTGCCCTCCAGACCTTGACGGTAGAGGTCACCACGTTGGTTACACATTCGAACCCTGGGCCCTTATTCTGGGCTAGTCTCCGCCTAGTTGCTTTCCTAATCCATCAAGCCCTTAAGAGTTTGGTTCTTGCTTAGGCGCAAGATCCCGTCCAGATCTTTCCCTATCCACAGTAGTTGCCTATCCATCTGTCTCATTCTGCTCTGTCCCTCCAGCCACTCGTCCTCCGCTTTAGATCCTCTCCCTTGCTCTGGCCTCTCACTGCTACCACCAGAGGGCTGTGGCTCCGAGAAGACGCCAATCAAACAGGTACAGTAAACATGCCCCTGTGGCTTCCTAGTGAGCGGCCATCAAGGGCGCTTAAGGTGAGAAAGCCGGTGGGAGGAGTCTTGGTCTGTCAACCCTAGCAGTCCCAAAATACCTGGGAGGGCGGTGTTTTTTGGTAGAGGAGTGGGGAGGAAGCTGGGAGGAAGCTGGGAAGCCACGCCTCATCCTCCAGCCAAGGAGAGCGCTCAGGTTTTGGGACGCGGACGGGGGGGGGTGGGGGCTCAATGCCTGAAGATGGGGAGGCTGGAGCCTCCGGTGGCCCTCTTCTGGCAAGGACAGGGTCACGGCCCACGCAGATAGGCGAGGCGGAACTTGCCCTGCTTCGCGCGCCAGGCCTGAGTTGGGGGGCTCAGAGCTGCAGGTCGAGCGTTCAGCAGGGGGCGCTGCTCCGGGCGCTGGACGGGGGTGGGGTAGGAGAGGAGGGGGGCAGCGGCTTGCTGCGCACACTTCCCCCATTATTAAACACTATGTCCAAAAGGCGTCGGGGGACTTCCCGGAGCCACGGAGCCCGTGTCGCGCGGCCGACCGGCCCACGGAGCCCATGGACCTGAGCGCCGCCGCCGCGCTGTGTCTCTGGCTGCTGAGCGCCTGCCGTCCCCGCGACGGGCTGGAAGCGGCAGCGGTGCTCGGAGCGGCGGGGGCAGGACCAGCCTGGAGCCCCGGGGGCGGCGGCGGAGTCGGACGGACCCTCGTCCCTGCTCGGGGCCCTTCGGCTCTCCAGGCCTCCGCAGTTCCTGGGCCCCGCGCTGTGCGCCGCGCTGCGGGCTCTGGCTTCAGGAACGGCTCCGTGGTGCCACACCACTTCAAGATGTCACTTTACCAGAGCCTGGCTGGGAGGGCTCCGTCACCCTCGGGGCAGGGCCATGCGGACACGATCACTGGCTTCATAGACCGAGCGACTCAAGGTACTTTGCCTTCTGTGCCAAGACATCTTGCCTGCTCCTGGCCTGAGATGAGCGAGGAAGGCAAGTTTCTGCTCCACTGGGTTCTGAGCCATGGCCCCATGAATACCATCTTCAGGTGTTAGAGAGAAACTTGGAAGACAGTGCATCGGAACCTGGACTATGGTGCCATTCAAGGTTTGGTTTCCGAGAGAAGAGGGGGTGGGGTCTCTCTGTGGAACTGTCAGGTCTCCCTGAAACTGGTGAGCAGAGTTCAAGATCCTCTTTTTTGGGGGAAGGGTTTAGAGTGGCCTCTCTATGTATCAGGAGGGCCCTCCCAGCAGGCGGCATTGGTGGATAGTAACTTGTGTGTGGGAGTATGGGCACCTGTGTACTGTGGCAGCCAGGCCCTCGTGGCCAGAGTGCAGGATTTCGGTTGTGTGGGGAGGACAGGGATGCCTGGAGCTCAAGTGTCCCATCCTACCCTGTAGGATGTGTGGGTGGGGTTGTGGGGTTGTTTTCTATCATCTGTTTTTTTATTAATCTCTATTAAAGCCATTAAAGTAGACAGATAGGGAAAATGTAACTAATTCAGGAGGAAATGCAAGTACTTTGGGCCTTAATTCTACTCAGCCAAAGACCTAGCTTGAAAATCTGGAGGGAAAGGAAGGCAAATAGGCCAGGAAAATAAAGTTGGGCAGCCATGGGCAGTCTGCAAGCCATTGATACCAGCATGGGAAAACAGGCAGAGACCACTGTGCAGTAATCACCCATCTCAGAAACACACACAGTACCTATGAGCAGACATCGTTCTTTTCAGTACATAGAAATCCTGGGCTCAAATGGCCCTTCTTCAGACCAGTGCATCTTCAGAAGGTCTGTCTCAGAATTCTATACTGAATCAGGGAAAACTCCAGACCCATTCAGCCTAGAGCATGGGAAGGGCCCTAAAGTAGCAGAAGCATCAGACTTGGTTAGGGCTGGCTGAGTTCTCTGGTGGAGTTCTGCTTGACCAGCAAGACCTAGAGGCCAGGTATCTTTCCTCCCTCCCTCCCTCCCTCCCTCCCTCCCTCCCTCCCTCCCTCCCTCCCTCCCTCCCTCCCTGGAGAAGCTGGTTGAAGTGGAGCTGCAGAGAAAGCTCTGGCTGAGGACACAGCCCAGCACCTCTGTCTAGCTTGCTAGCACCAGCTTCAGTAGAACAGAGTAGCTTGAAGCGATACACCAAGGCTGTAGACAAGGCATGAAGACCCAGAATCCACCGTTGGTTACAAATCCAGAAAGGGGGGGGGGTGGTCTGCATGGTCTCTCTGGGATGGGGTAAAATGAAACTATATGACTCCTTCAAAGGCCTTATCTGCTCTATGGTGGAACCCCCCCCACTAAAGAAAAAGGGCCCCTGTCCAGAAATAAAACCCCAAGTCTGAAATAAATCACACAGAGCAAAAGATTAAGCAGGGCTCACAGCAGAATCTAATCTTCCCAGGAAGTTTTTTTTTTTTTGTACCCCACAGCATTTCCCCTTCCAATTGGTGGCTGTGGAACACCCGGAGGAGCCAGGAATGGGGTTAAGGAGAGCAACCAACAATGAAAGCTCATCTCAGACAGGCATGGTAGGACTTGTTGCTAACCTGGGCTTTTCATTTCCATTCCGCTGAAGGGACAGGGTGGGCTGGAGGGAGAGGGTTATGTGCTGTTGTGTTTCGTTTCTGGACTATTCTCAGAGCCCAATTTGCATGGGAACCCAGGGTCAGTGAGGATGCCCAGTAAGCTGGGTTGTGAGAAGAGAAGGAACAAAATGGGAAAATGTATTTAGGGTATGAGAATTTTTCATTATTGCAAAACCAGCAGCAAGGGACAATTGTCATAGAGAACAAGTCTCTAAGAAAGCATGAGCCTTCTTTTGATCACTTAGCTTTTAGGTCATTTCTAACCATTTCTGACCTGCCTTGCAGGGAAAGGCAAGGTGCTGGTGCAGGCAGCAGAACTAAAGAGACCTTAGGGTTTGGTGCCTTAGGGTGTGGTTTGGTCCTGGTCCACATCGTAGCGATTAGGTGTGTATCTGTGGTTGTAGCATGGCTCAAGAACCAAAGCTTCAGTTGTAGCCAAGAAAAAAGGAGCCCTTTCCCCGGGGCCAGATTAGCAGCATTTGCTGTGGAGCCCATATGTGGGTGGGGATGAATTCTTGCTCCTGTGGACCTTCCTGGGGTGTATGTATCAAAGACAGAAAAGCGAAATCAAGCTGCCCCCACGGCTCCAAGTACCGGCTGTACTCACTCTCCTCTGTTTCTGCCAGTGGCCGAACCCGGCCAGAGCTTTTTATTCGAAGTATTCGGCATTCCTAAAGTGCCGAGTTGCACATTCTGTGCCGCCGGAGGTCTCCAGAGCCAGACCTGGAAGATGAGATCCTCCCTCCGCTGCTAAGCTGTCCTCGTACCCCGACATGATACTGCACTCGTGGGCTGGGGCATCCGAGCCACTGGAAAGCGCTCTGGGAAGCATTCGATGTGACGGACGTGGTGTAGAGCCACCATCGCAAGCGGCGAGCCTCTCCCAACTTATGCCTCGAAGAGAGCAGTGGCCAGCTTAACTGGGCTTCGGCTGGCCAGGAGGTGGCAGCTGTGACACCACTTCTGAGGAGCGCGCTCTACTGGTGACCTCCTGTACACAGAGGAGTGAGAGTCTGTTGATCCACGCCCAGGCCCACTTGCTCCAGGACCAGGCTCTGGGTCTCAGAAAGCAACCCCTGGGGAGGGCGCAGGCAGTGGCAGGTACCTGGGAGATGCAGGACAGCAGTGGAGGGGAAAGGGGAGTGATTAGCACCGAGCCGCTGCAACTGGAAGCATCTGCACAGGGACTTTAAGGAGTTGGACTGGCGACTCTGGATGGATCTACTGATCTACAAGCAGTACAAACACATGGTGATGGAGGCCTGTGGCTGCAGGTAGTATGCAGTCTGGAGAGGGCCTTACTGAAGAGCAGGCCAGGACCCCAGCTGAAGAGCAGCAGCCTCAGCCTCAGCCTGGCCTGTCACCAGGTCAGAGGACTGTGGACTATGATCTCTGCCTACACAAAGGAGAGCACAATCCATAATCACATTTACACAATCCTTTGCTCAGGCACACATTTATTGTGGACAATAGGCACTGAAAACCTTGTCCAGATGCTAACACTAGATGTCACAGCCATGCTTATTTGCTAACATCGATATAAACTGAGGTCTCTTAGGAGGAGGGTGTCTGTGTTTATGTTGCAGTAATTGACACTAAATCCAAGTTGGGAGCTGGGTGGCAGATTTTCTGAAGGTGTGCATAGGGAGTATTAAAAAAGTAAGGAACCATAGGAAAAGCACCCATCCCCTAAACAAGCCGGATCTGGTGCTGTGTCGGTTTGGAAAAGAAAGCTTTATCTAAAAGAACGTGTTGTATTACATATGTCAATACCGACTTAAAAAAAAAGCAATTAGAATGACTTGGGAAGTAGACAGAATCTTTTTCTTTGGGTGTGTGCAGAATAGGACAGAATAGGTTTAGAAGCATCTAGAGGGCTGTAGCAGGAGGAAGTTAAAGCAATGGTTGTACATGGGTAGCAGAGGCAGCTGAGGTGTGCCAAGAAGGTTCCTAAGAGGCTGCAAAGGAGGCTTTCAGGGCTTGAGTGTCCTGGGGTCAGCTACTGCAGGGGATTCAAGCCCATTGGCCAGGTAGGCATAGCCCCCTCCAAAAGGCTATGTGTGCTTATGCTTTCCCTTCAAATCTGTGCTGGCCTGTGTGTGTCTTTCACTGTGTTTGTCGGTATTATTTTTGGCAGTGTGACAGTGACTGGAAGTGAAGACACACACATGATTTGTCAGACTTGAACATACAGCCTGGACCTGCAGTGCAGGAGGAAATCGGTCCTTGCTCCTATACCAGTAGCCCTGGCCTTGGTGTGGGATGAGCAGGATGCAAGCCTGTGTCCCATCTCCAGAATTTCTGCTCTACAGGGGTGTTTGGTTTGATTTCTTGGTGCCTGTCCATCCTTTGGGACTTCTTGTCAGTGGCTGGGGAAGAGAAATAATCTGGGTTGCACCTGTTGGAGGGCTTCCAGGACAGTGTTGACACTATGCTGTGTGTCCTTTAGGCTGTGGGGGAAGTATCAATTCTGACCTTGTCTTGGATGCCAAGGACCAGGACAGTTTATAGGTATTTTAGTTCTTAGTGGTTACACTACACTCCCTGGAGACAATAAAGATGAAAGTTTAGATCCAGTTAGTTTATTTAAGAACTCCATCTGAGTTCTTTTCATTTTTTAAAATTTCCCCCAAGGGGAAAATGACTCATTATAATTTATTCCAAAGACAAAGATTATTCTTCCTTTAGTACGTGAACTTGCATGGCAATGAATAGCTGTAACCAGAAAATGCAGCAATTTCAGCTTTTTTTTTCTTTAATCACTAAGTGGCTACTCTTGATAGACTTCTATCTGTTTTTGGTGACTGGGCAGAGGTGTCTGTGTAGATTTCTGGATACTGCAAGGGAAGTCTCCTTCTTCTGTTTTAAATGATGATTCTAATAGTGACTGAGGTCATAATGGAGAATAAAAATGGCACTAAAGATTGTATTAGAAAGTTAGTAAAAATTATACTTGATTGTTAATTTTGAGAAAAATTTAAGTTATTTACTGCTTTTGGACAGAAAAACATTTTGTTGCCCCTCACACCATTCCTTATGACTAGGCCAAATGACTTTTGCATAAAAATATCTTGATTTGCTCTGAGCTGGAACTCACAGGTGACAGGATTTAAGGCTTGTGCCACCACTGACTAGCTGGTTCTTAAGAGGGCCAGATCCGAGGCTGCAGTGAGACTGGAAGTTGGACTCGAGTCAGTAGGCAAAACCCAGAGCTGTCATTGAAAACAAACAAACAAACAGACACAACAGACAAAACAAAACAAAACAACCCAAACCAGCCTGAATTTCAAGACTTTCTCTGGCTACTGTTGATATCCAGTGCACCTTCCTAGCAGCACAGGACTGGTTTCTTTCCCATGCATCCCTTTCAATGACAAGAGGGCTGTGGAAACTACAGAAACTTCCTGAGACCAATTTCTGTATTTGGTATAAAGGTTTGAGAAGCACATTGGGTTTATCAGAGGGACTTTAACTCAGAGGAAAGAGAGAGTTCGTAGTCCAGATACTTTTATCCTTTTCAGGGGCTGCTGAAATAAACAAAAGCGTCAGAAAAGACTGAGGATCAAAGGCAGACACACAGGT